TACCTGGAGAGATGGCTCAGCAGGTAAGAGCACTAAGAGCAGTGGCTGCTCTTGCAAAGGACCCAGGTTTGATTCCCAGCACCCACATGGTGGCTAACAACCATCTATAACTCCAGTTCCAGGGGACCTGACACCCTCTTCTCTCCTTCATGGGCATTGCATGACACAGATGCACTTACACACATGCAGACAATAATAATACACTCATACACATAAAAGTATAAATAAAATACAAAAAAGAAGTTGATTTACTACTGTGTCCATTTAGCAGAGTAATTATAGTCTAGCCAACACATTCCCAGGTCTAATAACATTGCCAGATATGGCTTCCATCTTGTGCAGTTGGCCTTAAATCCCATCATAAAGTGGTTGGTTACTCCCATAACACTCATGCCACTATGACACCAGTGGGCATATCTTGCTAGGCCGTGGCTCACAGCTAGGCACAGATGATGATTTCTCTTCTGGTAGCATAACACCTTCCAACACTATGAAAAGTAGCTAATAGATATGAAGCTTTAAGGTCATTACTAACTTGATTTCACCTTGTTTGTTGTAGAAGTCATGTTACTGTCAAGTTCTAGCAAGTAACCAAGAGCAGTAGTAATAATCAGTATTGTTTGAGGGTCTGTGGAACTCCCTTGTTGAACAGATACAAAAGAGGGAGTCCATTTTTGACATTTGGCTTCTTTTTTTATAGCCTGGGGTGTCTGATAGGGTCATTGTCTCTGTTACACAGTAAATCTGTTTTAAACTTTTTGTATTACATATGTATATATTTTAAGAAGCTTCTATAGTAATACGTTTCCATGTGGAATTTTTAAAGATTTATGTTATCCATCTCCATACTACCTCCTCTGCCCTGCCCTCCCATCTCTACCCCATTTAAGCCCTTCCTACTCTTATATTTCCCTTTACCCCTTATATCACTGTATTCTATATCTCATCCCATGAAGCTCCCCCACCTTAAGGCCACTTACTAGTTTCCTGAACTCTGAGTTTTCCAGTTGAAGCACATTTATCTAAAGATTCAGTGTTAGCATCCACTTGCGAGAGAGAACATGCAATGTTTGTCATTCTGTGGCTGTTACCTCACTCAGGATGACTCTTTCCAATTCTATTCATTTATCCACAAATTTCACAATTTCATTTTCCTAACAGCTGAATAATATTCCATTGTATAAATGTACCATAATACCATTATCCATTCATCAGTTAATGGACACCTAGCTTGTTTCCATTTCCTGGCTATTGTAAATAGAACAGTAATGAATATGGATGAACAGGTTTCTCTGTAGTAGGATACAGAGTCCTTGGGGTATATGTCCAAGAGTGGTATGGCTGTATCATGTTGTAGATCTATGTCTAGCTTTTGAGGAACCTCCACACTGATCTCCATAGTGGCTACACCACTTTGTACTCCTGCCAGCATTAATTAAGTGTTCTCCTTACCAACATTAGTCATTATTTTGTTTTTGTATCTTAACCATTCTGACTGGAGTAGGATGAGATCTCAAAACAGTTTTAATTTACATTTTCCTGATAGCTGAGATGTTGAACATTTTAATAATATTTTTAGCCATTTCCATTTCACATTTTTAATTGAATTTATACAAAATTCATACAACATCTTTTTTTGTATTTAGGTCCCCTTCACTATCTGCATCCCCTCCACTACATCCTGCCCAATTTCATGTTCTCTATTTTACACACATGCATACATGTTGACAGATGTGCATATTATTCTCTGATGCTACACTGATGTTTGCAATATAGAATATAAAATCACAACTATTAATTTTTATCTATGATACATAGATCTATTGTTCATGTCATACAGAGCAAAGGAAACTGCCTGACATACTTGGTTCAGATTTGAAGTTATTTTATGTTATAGACAGTGTTCTACTGTGTGTGTAGCTTTTCTCCTCCTCTTATAGAAACAGAATGGTATATTACAGAAAACAGTGACTTTTAAATGACTTTTAGTATTTCCTTACCATCATTCCTCAGCATGTATAAAATTAGTATATCTTTGGAGTAGATTGGTATTTAAATGATTCGTTATACAAATTACTATTTGAATTGCTGACTTTAGTTTCATAAAAATTCAATAAATGAATTCTGGCCTGAAATTAGGACAGACTTTCCAACAATTTTTGAAATGGCATTAAACATCCTTTTGCCATTTTGCACTATACATTTATGTGAAGCAGCAATCTCAGTTTGAGGATTGTGAATTTCCCAGCAACTCTGTAAAAGCTGAAGATGCTCCATGCCCTACTGTACCAAATTTTCAGCCAACCTTTCATGCTTTATATAAAAATAAACAAGCACATCCAGCTTATTGCATGAAAATTTTACTTTCATGTTTAATAACTGGTAAAGTTTTATATATAACAAAAGGGTTTAGTGATTTATTATCACTAAATTGATTTATAGATCTATTATAAACCTATAGAATTGTGGTCACATAAAAATTTCTTTGGCCTAAAGGAGTCACAAGTAGAAATTTAAGAAGCCTCTTTACAGGGTAGAGTAAAAAGGGTTTTGCATGTAGTAATTCACACTGATTTTTGGTTTAGGGAGTACTGTAGTGCTGCCAGAAGGCCATTTGATTAGAAAGTATTGAGGAAGCTAGTCCTCCTCCTGTACGTTTAAATTATTATTCTAAATTATATTGGCCATATCTTTCTTCTTAGGGCTTCTTTGGGGGCTGGAGAGGGAGAGAGAGAGAGAGAGAGAGAGAGAGAGAGAGAGAGAGAGAGAGAGAGAGAGTGTGTGTGTGTGTGTCTGTGTATGTGTGTCTGTGTCTGTCTTTTTTTTTTTGTTTTAAAAACTTAGACTTATTTGCTGGACTTGTGGATTGGGTAGGTATACATGCAAATACACACCAGTATTCAGAGTAGTTAAGTCACTGTCAAACATGTGATTTAAATATATGGCAGAATCCATGAAATCCAGTGGGCGAGGGATATAAGGGTGCAAATGGGGGGCTAAATTTGATTAAGATCTATTATATGAAATCCACAAAAACTCAATAAAATGTTTTTTTTTAAAAATAAAGAATTGGATGCCACCTTAAAAAAAGAAACAAAATGAACGTAACAAATATAATTGTCAGCAGATTGCAACAAGATGGACTAATATTTCTCTTCTTTCTTATGAGATTTAAGTTACAGAACATGTGGGGTCTTGGAAATACCTGATAACTCTTGTTGATAACTCTAGTTTCTTGTAAAAGAGTGGAGAGACCATGAGAATTCAAAGCCTTTCTGCCCTGTCTAAGTGTGTCCACTCATAGCCTTTGCCTTGTCAATACTCACAGGCTTAATAATCTCTTAATATATTGCTTTGGTCTCTCCTGTGCCAGTAAGATGGGTATTGCCATTAAAATATTTCTTAATTATTTATTTAATAACCATATAATTAGAAGAGGCATTTAATTACAACAGCATTGACATATCCAATAACAATTTCCAGAGCTAAGATGCACCTCTTTCAAAATTGGCTTTAAATTTTTAGATTTATAGTTGAATTAATACAGCTATACAATATTGTACTCTGTATAAACCCTATAAGATATAAAATTAAATGAGGTTTTAAACTTTAAAAACGATCTCCATTTCATTATTAAAATATAGTTTGATACAGAAAAAATCATTTTTAATACAATTGACACTAAGATGCACATGTGTTTCTAATCTCTATATATCTGATTATTACTAGTCACAGTCAG